TGATTCCGAGAGCTATTGGAGATTTTGATGCTTTAGTCCTTTTTTGTTTTTTGCTGAAATATATACTATAAGTTTGATTTTTTTTAGTATGTTTTACATTACATTTATGTTATTTTTATAAATTTTAAATATTTGGCTATATTTATTTATTTTATGTTATTTATATAATTGCCTCCCAAGATTATAGAAATCAAATCATAAACTTACAGTGAATTTAAGAAAAATGAGTTTTGTTTTCCTTCAAAGGTAAAAGAATTTGTTATTACTGTTATTATTTTTTAACTGTTGATGCAGGAATTTGGCCTCTTGGGATTCCGCCAAATTCGTACCAATCTTCTATAATAAAAGGGATCGGCGAGACCTGTAAAACAGAACAACATTAAAGACCGGTGTGGCTCTTGCCACACAGGCTTCGAGGCTTAAGTCAGAATTAGAGTAGTTAAGTATAAAGTGTAGAGTGTTGTGAGCATACCAAAGAGTAGAGGTTTGTCCCTCCTTTAGGTTTCCTCTAGGGATTGTGGAATTCGAATCCTGATACATTCAGGAAATCTGGTAATCTTAATCTAGGGAGATCTTCTCCTTTTGAATATAGGATATCTTCTCCTGAATCTAAAGGTCATCAAGATATCTTTCCTTTTGAATCCCTTGAATAAAGGGAATTGAGATTTTCTCATCCACAACAATAGCCCCCACTCTCAAAGTTGAAGATTATCAGACTTCTGCTTTGAGAGTATTTTGTCGTGTGGTTGGCTACAATCAAGTCCCTTGGGCTCAGCTATACGGTTGGTTTTAACCGTTAGATTTTGACCTTAGGATCTAACTTTCAGCAAGGCCAGTGGTACTTCTTTTGGCTTTTGGCCCATGGTTTTATACCTAGGGTTTTGACACGACCCGTCCTAAAACACCTAATAGTCCTAGAACGAGTCGTGCCGACCACAGACCCCGACTAACTACGAAGTCAATGGTCAACTTCTTCTTATCTTTGACCTGAACTTTGATTAACAAACTCTAAATGGATGTATAATAAAATAATAATCTTTACAAAACCATCAAACTGACATCCATTATAAACATCCTCTTCTATCAAAAGAGTGATAACAATTTTACAACAACTACATGTACGTACAAAGTGATAGGCAAATCCTCAACTACTCATTCTTCTTGAAACTCAGAAACTCAGATACTCAGGTACAGCTTGGGAGAAAAAAACAAAAACAGTGAGTTGGGAAGCTCAGTAAGTGGTAAGTTAATTGAAAATATTCTCGTAAAACTTCTTTCATAAACAACTGAAATTGAGCTCTTAAAATAAACTTTATAAAACTGAAGTAACAAACATTCTCTTTTAGATCTCATAAAACTTTAGCAACTAAAAACTCATAAAGACTTTCTCATAGATCAAACTTGTAACAACAATTTCTTTCTGGACAAACTGAAAAGACAACGCTTCCAAGTCCAGGATTCGGAATTCGAATTTGGCCCTAATCACCCCGGCATTCCCCTGCGTCCCCTGCGACCTAGTTACGCCACATTCTCAACCTACTCTAAAACACATTCTAAATCATATAAAACATTCTTCTTCAATCATAAAACAGATAGATAAAACTCAACACCACACATGTATCCACATTCTATTCTGGTCTACTGGTGCAGAGTAATCTCAATACACACCACAGAATAATTCTAGTCTACTGGCGTAGAGTAATCTCAATACACACAGCAGAATAATTCTCTCAACACGTAGAGTAAAATGGTCCCAAAGACCTTCTATTTCTGGGTTACTATAGAAACACGTTCACATAGCATACGGGTAATCAGAATAGCATTAAAGATCGGTGTGGCTTTTGCCACACAAGCCCCAATGCTTAAATCAGAATCGGGGTAGTTTAGTATAAAATGTAGAGTGTTGTGAGCATAGCAAAGAGTAGAGATTTGTCCCCCTTTAGGGTTCCTCTAGGGATTGTGGAATTCTAATCCTGATACATGTAGGAAATCTGGTTATCTGAATCTAGGGAGATCTTCTCCTTTTAAATATAGGATATCTTCTCCTGAATCTAAAGGCCATCAAGATATCTTCCTTTTGAATCCCTTGAATAAAGGGAATTGAGATTTTCCCATCCATAACATTAACAAAATATGATGTTGTTATACCCCCTTATAGACTTCAATAGCTTGAGAAAATAAAAAATAAAATAAAAAAAATTAATGGCAAAGAAGAACATTAACTTTGAAAGTTGGAGGTCTTGAAAAAAAAAACTTTGAAACTTGGAGGAATAGGTTAAATTATCCTGCACGAGTCTGCGAAACAGAAGTTAACTTGGTTTGAGAGATAAATTAAGTTAATTACACATATCCCTAGTATATTGGAAATTTTTTAATACAAACCGTTGGGTGGTTAGGGGGAGTCTAACTCACAACATCTTGATCAGAAATAGATACCTTAATTAGCTAATTAAGCTATGCTCATATTAACTTATAGTATATTTGAATTAACCGTGTTAGTTATTTTTTATTTTACTTTCCGTAAATTAAAATTTAGGTTGTTACGAATGTAATATAATTTAGGTTTAAATACTATATGTTGGGTTTTATGTCCTAAAACTCACAGTTTGAAAATGCCGAATATACTTTTATCATTCAATAAAGTTGTTATTGAAGGTTTTAATCAATAAGTAGTTATTGATCCAATAAAATGTTCTTAATAGATCTAAATCCAATAAACTAAGGATCCTAGACTGTTACATGAGACTCAAACTTTGTGTAGAGACATAAATATGGATCAAGTTTGAGTTAACAGTCTAAATGGTTTATAGTATAGGAATAAGGTTGGGCGCCTTATTCTGGGGACACTATGGATGTGGCCCACTTTGTAGCTATTACAAAAGATGTTATCCTAATTCGTTCATGTGAAAACATGCGAGTGGGGGCGCCCATGCAAAGAGTTTGCATAAGATCGGACCATGATATAGTTACTTTTACTTTATAACACCGTTTATTGTCTGAAACTGACTATCTCGACTTTGATGGCCTAGGTAATTC